TGCTCGACAATATGAAACAGATGGTTGCTGCCGACACTGTTGAAAGACCATACGAGTACGTTGTAGTGTTTTAGTAACTTTTTTTTACTATATTGTTCGAAATTCTTTCCAGACCATCTGGAACCTCTCGCAGTACATTATGTGGCCGGACATTTCGCTCGGGGAGTGCAAGGAGCTTATCTACCATAGCAGTGCAATCGTTTGAGGTTGGACAAAGTGTTGGCGCTGCCCCGAAACGTCGTAGTATTCTTCATTCACTATTTTCATCAAAGAAAAATGGCAAAAAATAGAAATAGTAGGTGATGAACTCTTTGCACTAACTTCGTCTTTTATTTGTACGAGTTCGTCTTTTTGTGTCCTAATATCTTCGAAAAAACAAGCAGGTAAATGGGATTTGTGCAAAAAATGTAGGGTGATTATGTATTGATTATAGTGACAATTACTTTGTATAAATGACTATCGATATATACTATGTTAGAGTCTAATATACACCACTTTTTCGCCTTATAAATTACACGTCTTCTCAGATTCGTACATTTTATGCAAAGTGTCCTAAGATTCCGTATTTACACTAACCATTAGTAAACCTCTTTATAGGGTTCAGCTTGTGGTGTGCTTTTTGAGGTTAAAAAGTAAAGGGAAGAGATGGAATTGTGAACAAGTTCGAATAAAAGGCGCATTTTTCAAATTCAATGTTTGAGAGAGATCTGATGCTTGTAGGGATGGTGTAAAGCGACTGAAGAACTTCACTTGGTTTTGGGTATAAACTTACCTAAATTTTTCTTTTAAATGGCCGAAAAGTAAACGCAAAATATTGTTGTAGTTGACAGCACAAGACTAGTTGTTGTAAAGTGCTCTAAATTTGAACAAAGCAAGCACACCTGTAAAAACTCATGCACTCGTAAAGTTTTGATCTTATTTTTTACGCCCATCTTCAAAGATTTCAAAGTTTTTACACAAAGAAATTAAGCGAACTGCTTTTGCCTGAGATCATCCAGCATACCACGCTTAACCCTATACTTCACGTCCAATGCATCCATATTAATGCTTGCGTAGACTTCAAACGACTATTTGTCTTTTCTCTTGGCGCATTCATTCTGGGATAATGATCATCCAGAATAATTAAAACATGTTGCGAACCATGTTACTGATTTGAAGGTACGACTTGGATATATTTACATTCATTCCTTTTCTTCATTGTTTCTGGATTTTTCTTATCACTGTAACTGTATCCGCTAGCACGAACTATCTCCATAGAGTGTATAATCAATGTAGTTATTGAAATGTATCGATCTGTGTTCTTTCCAAAAACAATCGCTTTTCAAAATATCGATGGTTTGATTGTGTTAGGTTGTTCGATAACTAATGACTGATTTCGAACTATTCTTCTGATTTTTTATTGTATGGACAGTTTTGGCAATGTCAAGAAAAAATCATTTGGACCTGCAGGTTTTTCTGTTGTTAACGAAAAAGACAAAGAGAGGAGAAAGCAGCTGTCATCAGCGGAGTCATAAATCGCTTACTCAATTCAACCAAGTCTTTCATCTCTACCCCATGGGTGGATTTATGGCATAGTGGAATAGAAATTGTATATCGGCTGACCTTTGCAAGTCACTGTAAGATCACTGAAAAATTCAAGAAAGATTTTCAACTTCGCACTGTAAGAGAATAATGCTCAACTACTTTCACGGTATCACAGGATTCGTTAGTGCATTTACGTGGTGTTTGAATGCTTGAAAATTCACTTATTTCTCGTGTACTATGCTAGAAGAAATGAGAACTTTGGTGGACCATTTGGGATTTGGGGATATGCACTTATTCTTGCGGACAAAATTTCACAATCAACCGGCAGTTCAGCCATAGCGATCCAAGTGCAGTACATGAGTCGGGCGGAATTTGCTTTATGGCTACCTGACAATATTTGCTCATACAACACTGTCTAATGCGATATTGCGAAATATTCTTGGGATTTGATTAGTCCTTTAACCACTATTTACAAGGCTGCCTTAATTCTGAAAGAGGGGAGCTGAAAAATTCAAGAAAGATTTTCAACTTCGCACATCTATTTATATACTCTTGGGACGTGGCCAGATACGAGAAACCAGGTTTTGAAATCCCTCAGTTATTGTTCTGAAATCAATTTAGTAAAAGCAAAAGCCTATAGATTCATTAGGAACCTAGTTCTTATTTTCAATATATATTTTTATGTGATTGCTTCAAGAGAACTATGTGTTATTCGATAACGGCTGTGATGACTTTTATAGTATAGGAAAAGGATAGGCAATAGAGATGGTACGCAATCAATTTTTTTTGGGATCTATAGGAAACAGTTAATTTGAAAATAAATTGTACTAAAAATTTATAGACAGTGTAGCCTTAGCAATCAAAATTGTACATAAGGTTGATAAGGTAATCTTAACTTCTGAGTTGAAAGAAATCTACCGTAGTGTTCATACGTCTTGAAAACAGAACAAGAACCATCCTACTCTTGTGTTTTAATCCAATGTGGCTAGATCTCCGCTGCCAATATAGTTACTTTCATAAAAGGCGGGTTAACTTGACACAAAACAACAACACATCTACTTTGGCTTTCACCAGATTTATCCATTCCAAAATGAGCACGAAGTTCTGAAAATGTTCAATACTTTACCTCTGATGCTTGGAAGCTTACTTTGTAAACAGTACTTCAACAAGCAGTTCTAAATAACCAAAGTTGACTTTTTGAAAACTGCGCAGCATTACAATAAAGTCTTCTAGCTGTACGTTGAAATTCTTTCTAACCATAATGAGTATGCTGCTACCTATCATGCAAGTGCACCTAATTCTAAACTGACAGTAGGTTTTACTGAATCGCGCTTGATTTTGCCTCAATACCTCACTAATAAAGACATTTATGACATTAATTTTCGCAATTATAGACGTAACTGGAGAAGAACAGTTATATAAATGTATAAGTTTCAAGAAATACTAGAAATATTCAAACTCGTCATTGTTAGGGGAAAGCACACCTCCAAGTTGTTAGAAGATTTTGCTTGTAATGAATGAAGTTTTTTTTCCAGCAGCAGTTTTCAAGCTAATTCAATATCCAGAAGCTTTTTGACAATGAAAATAAGAATTGAAATGTTCACGTAATTAGCACAGATTTAGAGGAATTTAAACGTTCTGAAAACGAGATTTAGGGACCGGATATGCTATAAACTGCAGGTTCTTTGGAAACTCAGAACAAAT